CTATCCAGGTATCATCAATCTCCTTTACATCCTCTCCGATCAAATCATCCCAATTTTTAGTGTCATCTTCGTCCAAATTCTGAGGAATATCTGTGTGGATGTAGGATTCACACTCGATTGTCTTTAAGTATTTTTGTGGAGAAAAACTCTAAAATCAACAAACAAAAATAAGGATTTGAAAAGGAAAGTAACCAAGAAACTAAATAAAGCGAAAGAGCTTGGCAAGAATAAAATAGTAAAAAGCCTTGCGAAATTGTAAAAGATAGACTATGTTGTATTGCTTAATGGTAAGAGGTAAAAAGTTGTTCTTTTTTCAAACACATGCGTTTGAGGTTGTTTTTATAGAGAACACATGATCAATGCGGTCATTTACTGCTCATAATCGCATTGATCCGCATTAATCATGTAGGTTACAATTTGACCGAAACGGCTTGAATTTGAACTATCTTGGGCTTCGCGTGGATCTTCCGAACTCTTTCTTGTTGGCTCCGAACTCCTGCGTCTTGACGCTGCCGCGAACCTCGAAAAATATTCTCCTCGCTTCGGCCTTCCTTTATGGGAACTGTATGTTGAATAAGAGCGAACTCCGTACAGGTAAAGATCGAGCTCTTTAATAAACTGAATCGAACTTCCGACAGGTCGAGCTCGATTCTCGCAATGAAACATCTAGAAATCCAAGAGGATTATTATGTAATAATGACGTGGACAGATCCAAGTCGATCCTACCGAAGATGTGTGGGATCCGACCCCAACATTTAGCCCCCCAAGTTTTGTGAGCTGAATGCTCGGCTTGGAAGACTTAAGTAAACAGTAATTAATGACTCGAGATCTTTAGCATTCCGGAATTATTCCATGTATTACGCTATTACGCCGATCTCGGATAATCAGATGATTTGATATCCCTGACAACCGTCATCATTAATTTCTTAATTTTATATTAATACCACGGGGAAAACTGTCCCACTTCCCAATATTCTCGAGGCGGTTTTCCATCATACTTTAGGGTTCTAAGAGGTAAAATCACTTTTCCATCTTATCTTCTTTACCTAGAAAACTTTCATTCTTATTACAGAAGTCATTGTTTCCTTTCGGTAAAAAAAAAAAAAGAAAATCCTTTTTGTAAAATGTCGAACCTTTCTTCCGAATTTCACGAGTATGAGGTTGGTGACCTCGAAGCTCTCATGGGTGAAGGATCCGAACCTCAAATCCATACCGGAGATGAGTTTGATCTTCACCCTTAGAGTGAATCGACTGTTGATTCTCTCGACGATCTTCGCAGACTATGTCACATCCCTCCTAAGGTGGAGATGATAGTTCCAGAGCCCTTCGAGTCTCCTGAGTCGGGGCGAGATGGTTACTGCTGCGCCTATGAAATTTATTTCAAAGGGTGCGACTTATTCTTTCCCCTTCCCGAGATACTTCTCACCTACCTCAACCATCTGGGAATTGCCTTCTCTCAGATGTCGCCCAACATGCTCCGGTATCTTTTGTGTACCTTTACTGTTGGGGCGGAGGCTGGCTATTCGCTAGGACTTTGCGACCTCTTGGAACTTTTCCAGGCTCGCGAATCCCGAACTTTTGGGTATTATGCCCTTTATCCGATCGCGGATCGAAATCTTATTGACAGCCTGCCCTTAAAGGACAACGCCTGGAGGAAGTTTTGGTTCTTCTTCCGCATAAATAACTTTTCTATTCAGAGCTCTTCTGAACTCCTTCGAGTCCACTGGTCATTGAATTTGGGTAGAAACTAGGACTTAACTAAATAAATTTCCTATGTTATTTCAAACTGTGTTTTAACATTTCCTTGTTTTCTCGCAGGTCCCCAAATTCGACCGGTCCCATCCATCGATATTCTCAACTTCTACAAGGCCATCTTGGAGAGGCCAGTTAATTGGAATTCCATTAATATGGAAAGGATTCACGGTGCCGGATTTTCTGTCAGAATGGGCCTTACTAACCCCGTCCCCTGCCCCAGGGACGTCCCAAGAGCACAAGGAAGGGCAGAGCCGCTCCTTCGAAACTGCCAATTCCTGAACCTGCTGAAGCTCAGGATGCAAATCCTGATTCAGGAACTGTTTTGAAGGAACCGCTGGGTTCAGGGATGCTACCCCCTAGACGCCCCCGAGGTAATACCTCTAGGGTTTGATCATCTCCGAACTCAGGACTGGTTGCCAGAGCTTCGTCTCAAGCCGGTAACCTTTAACTATCATTTTGTTGTTTGAGATTAATAGATTCTTTCTTTAAAGAAAACTCAATTCTCACACAACTAACTTTATTCCAGATAAAGAGAAGATCGGGAATATGTGTAGGTGCTTCCACACCCGTGTTGGGAAGAAGCTTCCATCCTATGATTGGTGGAAGCCTGATATCAAGAAGATGTACATCAGTCATTCATTTCATTCTTCCCAGGTTTGATTGTTTGCATCCTTAAACAGCCGATTTTGAAAGAAAATATATATATATTTTTTTCAAAAGATGAAACTTCTTTTATTAGGCAACTTTGGATGTGAATGGCATTGTCAACTTTTACGAAGAGGAGCTCGCCAAAGTTTCCAAGAAAGTTGCTGCCGCTGAAGGAGAGATTGAAAAACTGCAATCTTCCAGTCGGCTTGTGCAGGAATCTGCTGGCCTCGAATCGGCTCACCGGGAAGAGATAGAGAGACTCGAAAGATCCGACGAGGAGACAAGGAATAATTTGATTGAGACAGAGTAAAAGCTAGAAACTGCCTTTGCTGATCATAACTTCTCAAAAGGCGAGATTGAGCTTCTGAGATCAGAGCTTAACAAGGTTAAAGCAGCTGCTGAGGAGCTCGAACGCAAAAATGAGTCTCTTTCCGAACTGAAAGATCGCGATGTTCGCAAAATATCTCATGATGTTCGGAAGGAGGTTAAGGGAGCTGGGCAAAAGTTTCTTCTTGCTGTGCAGGAATTTATCGCTGCAGACAAAGCTTGGAATAAGCTTAACTCCGAACGCGATGAAATGAAAAGCAATCTCGATTTGATCAAAGAGATAGAGGACGGAAAAGTCAATTTGGCTGAAGAGAAAGAAACGGTTGGTGCTGAGTGATAGTAGGATTTTAACTAAGATCAATTATCCTTAAAGTACTATCATGTCATTGCAGTATTTAAGGTGTCAATCCAAATGGGTGTGATGCTAGCAATCAAGATGCAATCAGATTTCACAGAGTCAAGCCAAGCAATAACAGGTTTTGATGTTGTTAACAGTTCCAGTGATCATGCAGAAAACAATAATTCTAACAGAAACAGATAACACACTCGATCACACAGCTTGATGCCAAGCACTGGATGTGGTCGAGTGCCAGGTCGAGTACCAAACAGAAACTGCAACAAATGTACTCGACTGCACAGTTCGTTTCCAAACCGCTGGGTGTGGTCGAGTACTTCAAGTGAAATAAGTAAAAATGCAAAAACTAAGCAACAAGTAACGAGATCAAGCAATCAATAGCGATGTGAACAAAGAAATCAATTGGAAGAGAAATTCCCGAGGATGGGGTAATCGAGTAGTGAAGTCTCCTTAATCTAACAGGTGGTTAACATGCTCAACAAACTATCCCTAGACAACAAGTTCAATAACCAAATCAAAGTGCTACCGCAACAGAGATCCTCAAGCAAAGCTAGTCCCAGACTCAATCACCATTGACGAGAGCTAACCTAACAGGCATTATGAATCAACAAGTTAAAGCCAAAACGCTCCCTGTAACTAATACCTTGGTACAGAGCCACGAATCTCTGGAATTAGTGGTTCAGACATTTCATCGAACACCTTTTGGGTGCGGAAATGTCTGGGCTCAGATTCCAGTTGATCAGAAAGCAATCAGCATTAAGAACAACTAATCCAGAAGGGATCTACCAATCAAACTCAACCACCTAGCAGATCAAGGATTCTAAACTACTCTAACCCATCCTCAAGAACCCTAATCACTACTCAAAATTCATAACCAAGAACACAAACCCAGAAATACATAAAAACTTCATATTAGCAAGATCTCAACAAGATGAACAACTTTGTAGAAGAAATCAAAAGCAAATACTCAATAGATTAAGAGAAATCTGGATTACAAATATGAAGAAAGCACTAATTGTTCTGCAGAATAAAACTTAGACAGAATAAAACTTAGTCTGAAAATTATGAGAAACAACCTATTTATAGCAAATACTAGGAAACCCTAAATCACAAGACGACAAAGTATTAAGGCGGTTTACGGAGACATTCGGCTTCGTGCAATCGAGTGAAGAGGTCGAGCAAAGCTGGCTCCTTTGCGGTTTCTTGATCTGGTCGTGATGCGATCGAGTGACTAGGTCGAGTATGCACTCGAGTCCCGCTTCATCTTCTTCTCTTCCTTATGCTCAGTGTGTGGTTGAGTTGGGATCTGAGAAGCCTCTGAAGCGTGCAGTCGAGTGCTTGGTCGAGTAAGTTGGTGGAGGATACTCGACTGCGTGCTCGAGTCGTGATCTGGAGTCGTGATCTACTTGGTGAAGGAGCTGGTACTCGACCATGAGGTCGAGTGGTAGGTCGAGTTGGTGAAGGAGAGGGTACTCGACTTGGTGATCGACTTGGTGCTCGACTTGGTGCTCGACTTGGTCGTGGTCGAGTGCATTTGGAAGGTCATGATGATGGTGCTCGACCTCGTGGTCGAGCATACTGATGGGTTCTGGTCCACTTCTTCCAATTTGCTCACCAACAGCTCCAAATCACCTGAAAACAACTCAAATATGCAACATGCATGCAAAACTATCCTAATCATGCAAAGTGATGACAAATGATGAAGAATGGTATGAAACAATGACGAAATGATGATAAAGTGATGCTAAATGGATGCTCAAAACAAGTAAAATATAGACATATCACTGAGCTAGTTGAGAGTGTAGCTAAGCTAAATACCGCTCCTCAGCCATATTTGAATTTGCAGCAGTTAGCTTCTGAATTCGCTGATTCCCCTCCATTGACCGAACCAAACATTGGTTCGTCTTTGGACGAGATGGTGTTAATAGGTTCTCCTCGCGCTCATTTTAATGAGTTCGGAACCAATGTCGACAGAATCTCCTCGGGACGAGCTCAGGGGCTCTCTGATCAGGGGCTTGTCATCTCCTCGATTATGGGAGACGATGTTGAATCGAGGAACGAAACTCCTCACGATGCTAGCTCGCTTAACCCTGAAGTGGTTCTCGCGACTCAAGACGATGACGTTGGGGGTGCTCTTGTCTCAAGTCAAGTAAGAGAAGAAGGCGGTTCACCTATGAATGAATGATGGTGATTGTATTCACCTTATGTGGGGATTGTCCCTTTAATTTAAAGACATGACATTCGCTTTGTTGGCCATGGGGCCGTTTGTTTCTTTTCCAAATTTTCTGCCCAAGGGGGCTTCTATTACTGTTTTGAATAATTTACCCAAGGGGGTTTTCGATTAAAATTTCTTTAGGAAGAAATATTTAATCTTGGTGGAAACCATCGATTTTACCTGGAGGCTTTGCAAAGTCCTCCTAATCGAAGTGGTTCAGGAATATAGGAGAGATATGCTGATCAGACCTACTTGCCTTTTTTAAAGAAAAAACATTGGAATATTTCCTCGGTCTCTCGGTTGCAAGGTTAGAGCTCGGCTTACAAGAAAACTTTGCGATACTTCAAATGTGTTCGATTAGGGAAATCTCTAGTGAGAACTGTTTGCTTTCCCTAGGAGATAAAAAGGTGTGATACCATTTATTGATTGTCTTCGAATTTCGAGTTCGAAATTAAGTTCGCCTACTAGGTGTTAAGTGATACTTGAATAACCTATATTTCGTAGGTCTTGTTTGTGCATGTACACGAAAATCGAGAGGTCATAACAGTCAGATCAATAGATTGGCGTTTAACTTTCTTTTTCAATAAATACTCGAGTGAGTGCCGTTACATATTTTTTCTATATAAGGAGAGTTAGATTTTTGATATGTCTATAATTTGCATGTTTTACACATCCATTTATCGCCATTTTGAGTCTATTTTCATTCATCTTCCACAGCATTCATCATCATTTCGCACATTTTGCATGTTTAAGTGTGTATAGCATTAGTCTTACATACATTTTGCATTCTGGAGTTGTTTCAGGTGTTTCGGAGCTATTGGTGTTCAGAAAGAGGAAAAATAGAGCTGAAAATCACATTTGGACCATTCTACTCGATTACTAGTAGCAGAGAGGGAAGCAGTCAGCTCAGCAGACCATCAGGACCCTTCTACTCGATCGCAGAGGAAGAGGAGCAGTCCATCCTGCCAGTTCACCCTTCTACTCGATCGCAAAGGAAGAGGAGCAGTCCATCCTGCCAGTTCACAGTTCTACTCGATCACAGAGGAAGAGGAGCAGTCCATCCTAACAGTCAACCCACATACTCGATCGCAGGGTTGAAGAAGCAGTCCAGAGGGTGCGGCTTATTCTTTCCCCTTCCCGAGATACTTCTCACCTACCTCAACCATCTGGGAATTGCCTTCTCTCAGATGTCGCCCAACATTCTCCGGTATCTTTTGTGTACCTTTACTGTTGCGGCGGAGGCTGGCTATTCGTTGGGACTTTGCGACCTCTTGGAACTTTTCCAGGCTCGCGAATCCCGAACTTCTGGGTATTATGCCCTTTATCCGATCGCGGATCGGAATCTTATTGACAGCCTGCCCTTAAAGGACAACGCCTGGAGGAAGTTTTGGTTCTTCTTCCGCATAAATAATTTTTCTATTCAGAGCTCTTCTGAACTCCTTCGAGTCCACTGGTCATTGAATTTGGGTAGAAACTAGGACTTAACTAAATAAATTTCCTATGTTATTTCAAACTGCGTTTTAACATTTCCTTGTTTTCTCGCAGGTCCCCAAATTCGACCGGTCCCATCCATCGATTTTCTCAACTTCTACAAGGCTGTCTTGGAGAGGCCAGTTAATTGGAATTCCATTAATTTGGAAAGGATTCACTGTGCCGGATTTTCTGTCAGAATAGGCCTTACTAACCCCGTCGACCCTCCTCCTGCTGGGATTGATATCTCGAGTCTGAATGCCCGAGATAGGAGAAAGATCAAAGAAGTAAACAAGAAGATCAAAGATCAGATTTCTCTAGTTGGGAGAGACAAGAAAAATGCAACTTCCACCGGAGACGACAAGGTCTACCGGAAAACTCTCCTGGTTGACGATGGATCTCTCGAAGGTTCAAAGTCAATGGCGGTTGCTGTGAACAATGCTTCTCCCTCCATCCCAGCAGCAGACAACATGTTCGCTGCAATCGTTGAGGAGGAAGGCCTTGCAAGTGACACTTCTCTTATGAAGAAGAGGAAGGCCGAGGAACTTGGACCCCTGCCCCAGGGACGTCCCAAGAGCACAAGGAAGGGCAGAGCCGCTCCTTCGAAACTGCCAATTCCTGAACCTGCTGAAGCTCAGGATGCAAATCCTGATTCAGGAACTGTTTTGAAGGAACCGCTGGGTTCAGGGATGCTACCCCCTAGACGCCCCCGAGGCAATACCTCTAGGGTTTGATCATCTCCGAACTCAGGACTGGTTGCCAGAGCTTCGTCTCAAGCCGGTAACCTTTAACTATCATTTTGTTGTTTGAGATTAATAGATTCTTTCTTTAAAGAAAACTCAATTCTCACACAACTAACTTTATTCCAGATAAAGAGAAGATCGGGAATATGTGTAGGTGCTTCCACACCCGTGTTGGGAAGAAGCTTCCATCCTTTGATTGGTGGAAGCCTGATATCAAGAAGATGTACATCAGTCATTCATTTCATTCTTCCCAGGTTTGATTGTTTGCATCCTTAAACAGCCGATTTTGAAAGAAAATATATATATATATTTTTTAAAAGATGAAACTTCTTTTATTAGGCAACTTTGGATGTGAATGGCATTGTCAACTTTTACGAAGAGGAGCTCGCCAAAGTTTCCAAGAAAGTTGCTGCCGCTGAAGGAGAGATTGAAAAACTGCAATCTTCCAGTCGGCTTGTGCAGAAATCTGCTGGCCTCGACTCGGCTCACTGGGAAGAGATAGAGAGACTCGAAAGATCCGACGAGGAGACAAGGAATAATTTGATTGAGACAGAGTAAAAGCTAGAAACTGCCTTTGCTGATCATAACTTCTCAAAAGGCGAGATTGAGCTTCTGAGATCAGAGCTTAACAAGGTTAAAGCAGCTGCTGAGGAGCTCGAACGCAAAAATGAGTCTCTTTCCGAACTGAAAGATCGCGATGTTCGCAAAATATCTCATGATGTTCGGAAGGAGGTTAAGGGAGCTGGGCAAAAGTTTCTTCTTGCTGTGCAGGAATTTATCGCTGCAGACAATGCTTGGAACAAGCTTAACTCCGAACGCGATGAAATGAAAAGCAATCTCGATTTGATCAAAGAGATAGAGTACGGAAAAGTCAATTTGGCATAAGAGAAAGAGACGGTTGGTGCTGAGCTAGCTGAGAGTGTAGCTAAGCTAAATACCGCTCCTCAGCCATATTTGAATTTGCAGCAGTTTGCTTCTGAATTCGCTGATTCCCCTCCATTGACCGAACCAAACATTAGTTCGTCTTTGGACGAGATGGTGTTAACAGGTTCTCCTCGCGCTCATTTTAATGAGTTCGGAACCAATGTTGACAGAATCTCCTCGGGGCGAGCTCAGGGGCTCTCTGATCAGGGGCTTGTCATCTCCTCGATTATGGGAGACGATGTTGAATCGAGGAACGAAACTCCTCACGATGCTAGCTCGCTTAACCCTGAAGTGGTTCTCGCGACTCAAGACGATGACGTTGGGGGTGCTCTTGTCTCAAGTCAAGTAATAGAAGAAGGCGGTTCACCTGTGAATGAATGATGGTGATTGCATTCACCTTATGTGGGGATTGTCCCTTTAATTTAAAGACATGACATTCGCTTTGTTGGCCATGGGGCCGTTTGTTTCTTTTCCAAATTTTCTGCCCAAGGGGGCTTCTATTACTGTTTTGAATAATTTGCCCAAGGGGGTTTTCGATTAAAATTTCTTTAAGAAGAAATATTTAATCTTGGTGGAAACCATCGATTTTACCTGGAGGCTTTGCAAAGTCCTCCTAATCGAAGTGGTTCAGGATTATAGGAGAGATAGGCTGATCAGACCTACTTGCCTTTTTTAAAGAAAAAACATTGGAATATTTCCTCGGTCTCTCGGTTGCAAGGTTAGAGCTCGGCTTACAAGAAAACTTTGCGATACTTCAAATGTGTTCGATTAGGGAAATCTCTATTGAGAAATGTTTGCTTTACCTAGGAGATAAAAAGGTGTGATACCATTTATTGATTGTCTTCGAATTTCGAGTTCGAAATTAAGTTCGCCTACTAGGTGTTAAGTGATACTTGAATAACCTATATTTCGTAGGTCTTGTTTCTGCATGTACACAAAAATCGAGAGGTCATAACAGTCAGATCAATAGATTGATGCTTAACTTTCTTTTTCAATAAATACTCGAGTGAGTGCCCTTACATATTTTTTCTATATAAGGAGAGTTGGATTTTTGATATGTCTATAATTTGCATGTTTTACACATCCATTTATCACCATTTTGAGTCTAGTTTCATTCATCTTCCACAGCATTCATCATCATTTCGCACATTTTGCATGTTTAAGTGTGTCTAGCATTAGTCTTACATACATTTTGCATTTTGGAGTTGTTTCAGGTGTTTCAGAGCTATTGGTGTTCAGAAAGAGGAAAAATAGAGCTGAAAATCACATTTGGACCATTCTACTCGATCACCAGTAGCAGAGAGGGAAGCAGTCAGCTCAGCAGACCATCAGGACCCTTCTACTCGATCGCAGAGGAAGAGGAGTAGTCCATCCTGCCAGTTCACCCTTCTACTCGATCGCAGAGGAAGAGGAGCAGTCCAACCTGCCAGTTCACAGTTCTACTCGATCACAGAGGAAGAGGAGCAGTCCATCTTGACAGTCAACCCACATACTCGATCACAAGAGAGAAGAAGCAGTCGAGATCATGCCATCAACCATTCTACTCGATCACCACCTTGACCCTCTGATCAATCCGCACTCAACCAGACAACCTGAGCATAGGAAAGAGAAGAGGAGAGAAGGAACCACTTGATCGCGGCTTCGATTCACGCTCGACCATGAAGCCCACTTTGAGCCCATATACTCGACCTCCACGTTCCGATGGGCCTTTTAAGCGGACTCGAAGCCCACTTACTTAACTTTGTCGATTTTACTATAAATAAGTCTCTAAGGGTTTCCCCTGAGACATTCACTTATTTTTCATTTTTTCATTCACGTTTTTAGTCTCGAATCCTAGTATTGTTTTAGTAGCCGCTTTTGCTTCTGCAACTTTGTATTTTCATTTCTTCTAAGTTATTGAGATTTTGCTTTCATTTCCTTGTTCATTTCCTTTAATCTTTGAAGTTATGCAACCATCAATCGTTTATGTGGCTTTGAGCATGATGTCTGAGTAGTGACTAGGATTTCTGATGATGGGATAGAATAGATGTGAGACCCTTAGTCGATTCTGATGGTTAAGTGTAGTTTTATTGAATCCCTTCTGGATTAGTTGTGTTTACAGCTTATTCCTTTCTGATCAACTGGAATTCGATCAAAAGCATTCCCGCACCCAGAAGGTGTTCGATGGAATGCTTGATCTACTAATTCTAGTGATAATCGTCTCTATCCCAAGGGATTGGCCGTTTAGAGAGGTTATTGACTTTAACAGTCGGTTCTTATTACCTGCATAGTTAGATTCCGTTAATGGGAATTAGTCTCGGCTAGCTTTGCTTGAGGATTTGTTGCACGGGAGTGAATAAGTCTGTTATTGAACCTGTTGTCTAGGGATAGCTTCATTGAGAATTGTTAACCATCTGAATTGATTATGGAGTCCACACTATTCAATTACCCCATCCTTAGGAGTTTCTTATCCAATTGATTTATCTGTCTACTTACTTGCTTCTGCTGGTTACCTGCTGTTTAAGTTTTTAACTATTTTACTCTGTGACCACTGGTTTACTTGATCACAGCCTCCCTTCTGGCAGTGAGCCTTGTGATCGAGTATAGCAGTCCATTTCTGCAAATTTACTGTTTTCTACATCAATCACTAGAACTGTTAGAAAAACAACCAATTCATGCTTGGCTTGACTTAGTGCTTTCTGATCATATCTCATTTATTTGCATCACACCTGATTGGATTGACACCTAAAATACTACAACGACAGGATAGTGTTTTAGGATAATTGATCGTAAAATCCTATTATCAGTTCTTGAGTACTGATTTTATTGAGGAAATTTATGCAATGAGGGCTATATGATATAGTTGTGGAATTTGGTTTAGAATTTAGAATGTTGAGAATGCTTGCGGAGAATTACATGGTGGTTAGGATTTGATGCGATCTGCTAGGCATTTGGATTTGGTTTGGATAATCAAGGTAATAGGCTAGAGAAATTGGGAGTTTCTATGTTTTCAAACTTCTTCCACAGGTTTGGTTTTTGTGTTTTGTTTGAGGGCAAGCAAAAGCTAAGTCTGGGGGAGTTGATATACCTCGATTTTTACCGGTTTTAACAGTGATATATGTATTGTTTTTAGAGTCTTTTTGTTATTTCTAGTGTCTTTTTAAGTCTTTTCAGGTTTCTACACGTTTGGGATTCATTTGGAGATAATGGAGCATTCTGGAGGAAAACAGAGAATTTATGCTGCAAAAGAAATCTGGAGACGAAAATACGTGTAGGTGTCGATCGACACCACCCCTGGTGTCGGTCGACACCAAGAGCTGACGGTAATTCAAAAACGCAACTTATTGAAGTTATGAAGATTTGCAGATTCGGTCCAGAACTTTCTCTTAGTTTTAAAGAAGGCCCAACACGTTTTTAAGACTTAGACCATCTCCAATGTATTTCCCTATTTTTATCTCTATCTCTATAATAGAGGTAAGTTTTCTCTATTTTTACTCCAATGTGTTCCTCTATTTTTTTCCTCTAAAAAGTTTAACTCTATTTATAGAGGGAAAAATAGAGATTCTCTATTCTCACCTCTATATATAGAGAAAAAAATAGAGATCTCTATTTTAGAGGTGAGAATAGAGGTTGGTTGAAGTAAATTTGCCTCTAAAATAGAGTTTAGAAGCAAATATAGAGGTGGGTTGGAGATGCTCTTATATATATAATTTTAAGATCATTGTTTAGACCTAAGCTTGGAGAGACTATTCTCCTTTTCTCTTTTGTATTTGGGAGCAAAACCCTGTGGAGACTCCCTTTAGAGAAGATCTTTCTAAACCCTATTTTCTTGTTATATTCATTATTGATTTCTACTTCAATCATGTTGTTTGTTTCAATCTCCATGATTGAGTAGTTTTCTTGTTAGGTTAGGGATTCTCATTAGGGATTTAGATGAATTAGTAAATCGATTACCTGTTAGGATTAATCTATAGAGTTCTTCACCACAGTTCTACTCGATCACAGAGGAAGAGGAGCAGTCCATCCTGACAGTCTACCCACATACTCGATCGCAGGGTTAAAGAAGCAGTCCAGATCAGTCCGTCAACCAACCTACTCGATCACAGGAGAGAAGAAGCAGTCCAGATCCTGCCACCAACCATTCTACTCGATCACCACCTCGACCCTCTGATCAATCCGTACTCAACCAAACAACCTGAGCAAAGGAAAGAGAAGAGGAGAGAAGGAACCACTTGATCGCGGGTTTCGATTCACGCTCGACCATGAAGCCCACTTTGAGCCCATATACTCGACCACAACGTTCCATGGGCCTGTTAAGCGGACTCGAAGCCCACTTACTTATCCTTTTCGATTTTGCTATAAATAAGTCTCTAAGGGTTTCCCCTGAGATATCGATTTTTCATTCTCTTTTCAATTACGTTTTAGACTCGCAACCTAGTTTCGTTCAGTAGCCGCTTTTGCTTATGAAACTCTGTATTTTTGTTTCTTCTAAGTTATTGAGATTTCGCTTTCGTTTCCTTGTTCGTTTCTGTTTTATTTCCTCTAATCTTAGAAGTTATGCAATCATCAATCGTTTTCGTGTCTTTGAGCATGTTGTCTGAGTAGTGACTAGGATTTTTGAGGATGGGATAGAGTAGTTGTGAGACCCATGGTCGATTCTGATGGTTAAGTGTAGTTTTATTGAATCCCTTCTGGATTAGTTGTGTTTACTGCTTATTCCTTTCTGATCAACTGGAATTCGATCGGAAGCATTCCCGCACCCAAAAGGTGTTCGATGGAATGCTTGATCTACTAATTCCAGTGATAATCGTCTCTATCCCAAGGGATTGGCCGTTTAGAGCGGTTATTGACTTTAACAGTCGGTTCTTATTGCCTGCATAGTTAGATTCCGTTAATGGGAATTAGTCTGGGCTAGCTTTGCTTGAGGATTTGTTGCACGGGAGTGAATAAATCTGTTGTTGAACCTGTTGTCTAGGGATAGCTTCATTGAGAATTGTTAACCATCGAAATTGATTATGGAGTCCACACTATTCGATTACCCCATCCTTAGGAGTTTCTTATCCAATTGATTTATCTGTTTACTTACCTGCTGCATTCACCTTCTCTGTTACTTGCTATTGAGTTTTGATAATTGTCTGTTTTTGGACCCTTTTACTCTATCACATCCTCCTTCTGGCAGTGAGCCTTGTGATAGAGTATATTAGTCATTTTTGTGTCTTTTTACTACTTTCTGTACCAATCACTAGGACTGTTAGGAAAACAACCAATTCATGCTTGGCTTGACTTAGTGCTTTCTGATCATATCTCATTTGTTTGCATCACACCTGATTGGATTGACACCTAAAATACTACAACGACAGGATAGTGTTTTAGGATAATTGATCGTAAAAACCCTATTATCA